CGCCGTCATGAAAAGAGGTATTTTGTTTTTCTTCTTTTACGCTCTGCGAAGAGAAGGGTATGCGGAAGAAGAAAAGAGAGAAAGTTGGGAAGGGGGATATCTCAGAAAGCAGTAATAGTAGTAGTAGTCGTCATCGTTCTTGTGCTTCGCCACCAGAGAAAAAAAAAGACCGAGTTTCCCGTAAAACGCCTGATTTGCCTCTTTCGTCTTTGGTGAACAATTATCCCTTTCGTCGGAAGAAAAAGAAAAAGCCTGCGCGGAAGTATACACGGCGTATGACTCCGCCCTAATAGAAAAGAAGACCAGGTATGAGTGTGAATCAAAAAGGGCAACTCGACCCCTCCCAGAACGCCTCATCGATGCTTGTTTCGTCAGGTGTAGAGATGTGTGTGTGCGTGTGTGGTGCGTGATGTATGTGGTGTAACAAGGGTGACAAAAAGGTGGCAGCCTAGAAAATATCGGAGCTGCCGGGGTAAGGGGAGATTTGGTCGTAAGGCCGTGTCGGGAAGTTCGGGGAGAATTGCGAAGAAGTGGCCGCGTTTCCGGGCGCGGGCGGAGGCGTGGGTTGAGGCGAAGTCGTCGCTGCTCCCAGGGCCAGATGAGGGCCCTACAACATCGTGGCAGTGGGAGCAGTGAGCCCAGCGGCGTCGAGATTCGTGCGCAGCGCCTCTTGCAGTTCCGCAATTTGCGACATCATGGCGAAGCTGTGCTGGTTGTGTCTCTCGAGCTGCTGGCGCAGATCCTCGTTCTCCATGCGCACGCGCTTGATCTCCTCGCGCAGCTCCTCAAAGCCAGCATCCGAGCTCTTGCGCGAGCGCTTGCGCTTGTTACTGCCACCCATGTTGACGAGGCTACCCATGAGACCCTTCTCGCTGTCGCCGTCGCTGCCAGTCTGCACGTCGTCCTGAACGGTGCTGGAACCATCACTGGTATGTACCCGGCGCAAATGTTCATTCAAGTTCTCTTGTCTTGAGAAGCCTTTGCCAGTATGACGTTTGCAATTCGGGTGGGGGCAGTTGACAGTATTCTTGGGTCCGCCATGCTTGCCGTGTACTTCGCGCTCGTGACGCAGGAGGCCTCCGGAGTAAGTGAATCCAGGCAGCTTTTCGCAGCCTTCGGCGGCGCATCGGTAGGGTCGCTCGTGCTTGTCCATGTGCTTGCTGCAGTTCAAAGTATGTTAGCGGAGCTCTCAAGGTATGGGGGCCGGGGCCGATTCAGACTTACCTCCATTCGCACTTCCGGGTGAAGACCTGGGTCTCCTCCGTACATCCCGGGAACGTGCAATAGAACTTGCCATCTGCCTGCTTGGTGACCTCGCGCTCGGGCTTTGGTATGCACTTGACCCTCGATGATGGGGTTGACGCCTCGGCCTCGTCCTTGTGGGGTGTGACGACGGTGTTGTTAGAGGGCAGCGGGTCAGGCATAGCGGGAGGCAAGTTCGAAGGGAGCGAGGCGAGACTCGGCGGCGCGGAGAGATCGAGTCGCGTGGCATCTGGAACATCGATGGTAGTGTCGCCAAGGCCATCAGGCATTAGAGAGCGGTCGTCTCCCAGCATCGACGTTGTGGGGTTGTAGGAGGCAAGCTCCGGGACGTCGGACGCCTGGTACTGCGCTGTCGGGTCATTGTGGTCGTGGTCGGGGTCTCCGATGGGAGGGTATGACCCGTCGTGCATGAAGTTTCTAGGCTCGTAGACGACGGACATATTGAGCGGGAAGCGCGCTGCGATGTCCAGCTTGACTGATGTCTGGGGGTTGTTGTCTAGAAGAATGCGGTTCGATGGTCGGGGGAAAAAAGGTAGGTCGTGACCGGGGGGCGGTTTGGTGACGAAGAGAAGGTCGCGACTTCCCGGGAGTCCTCGGCAGGAAATCTGCAATAAAGACGCAAAGGGTAGAAGATGATGGAAGAAAGGAACAGGAAGGCGCGATATGGCAGCGCTCAGGATATTAGGGTCGTACTTTGCGTACTTTGCGATGACACGCGCGTCGGCTTTCGTAGCTTGGATTGATGGGTGAGAGAGAGCTCCGATGCTAAGGAAGGCAGAAAAGTTAGTTTGGCCTGAAAATTCTGGCGGCAGAGCGAAAGAGCTGACAGCTGCGGCGCGCATCAGCCACAGCCTGCCTGCATTAATAAGCCAGCAGACGCCACGTGACCCTTGTCCAAGATTGCCACCCAGCCACAGAGAGGCACGGAGAGGACGGACCACGACCCACTTTGGGCAGGATGACTCCTCCGGATTGCGGGTTGCGAGGCAGAAGCGCAGCGATGCTCCGTTGTCAAGCATGTGAGGGAACCCACTCACTTACATGGTAGTACAGGGCGCGATCGAGTGCGGATATGTATGTTGCACTGCAAATATTGCTTTGGGCTCTTAGCTCAGGATGCCATGCTGCTCGGGGTTCTTCAAACCTTTTTAGTCTTTTATGTTGTTCGACAGCAAAATCAGGCGGCAACGCAAGGTGACTCGTCCGTTCCCTCTCCGAAACCCTTACCCATCTTGGGCACGTTGGCAGACAAGAGAATGCGAGTCTGACTCACAGGGCAACGTATTGTTGGCCGTAGCCTGTAGGCCTCAAGGCTGCCAGCCAGCCTTCAGACATAATCCCTGTCTACTCCTGTTCAAAATGGAAAGTCTCGTGACTGCCTCGGGTGAGTTGCTGGTACAGTTGTGAATTCCCGACCTACTGTTGTGTCGGAATCCAGTTAGTCTTTGCCCAGAGCTGATCGAGGCCGAATCACTCACCTGGTCTGCTTACTCTGAAATCCTGTGAGATCCCATGGCCAAACGCCAAAGTTCCATTGGTAATGCTCAAGACTGAGCCGCACTAAAGCGGGACCGACACTCAAGTCTACATTCACAGCCGCGTTGAGGCCGTCGTAAGAGCCAGCTTTTGGGGGCCAACGATGTTGGCTGAGTTGCCTGGATGAGGCCTGCAAAGCGACAAGGGGCTTCTCACCGGAAACTGGGGACCGGTCGAGCTCCTCGTCAGTACCGGCCTGTGAGTGTCCATTTCGAGATCTCGTCGAACATAGGCAGCTTCGTTGTTCTTGGCAGAATGATGTGCAGAAGTGAACTCGTATCACCCTCACAGAGGACAGGTGATATGTCACAGCAGGCACGTGGGCCTTGACTGCTGTCACCAGCCTATTGGACCTGTTGTGAACCCGCTTACACGTAGGTTTGTTTACATTCTCTCTGGCGCTCCAGCTCGCACTTGCGTTATAGGCTCCTGGGCTCGACTTGAGCTCGTAGCTCGCCAAAATCAGGCATCACTGCCTTATGCCCCTCCTGGACTTCTCCATGGTGTGGACGTTGTGCGGAGACCCTTGCCGTCTAGACCGGCCGCGAACCAAAGACTTGGGCCGCCCGTATCCTACGTCCCCTATCGGTGACTGACCGAATAGGATGCCTCTTGCTTGCCTTGACCGATGACTAGGTTGAGGGATAGGGATAATGCGATGGATCAAGGAGGGTGACTACCCCGCCAAATTCCTAATCTAGTTCCAACGTGATAGGCTGTTCCTCGAGGCTTCGGTGTGGCCACCGAGTAGTTGATCCTTTTTAACGAGTATAAAGTCCTGCGGAGTAAGATAGACTGCTGACGTTGGCGGATGGCAAGACGGCTTCCAAAGCATCGCGAAGCCTGCAAGTCCTAGGATATCATCCACTTGACTCAGACTGTGAAATGGTACCGAAAATTGAGATATTTCCACGTAGGCTCGACTGCATGATGATGTTGATTGACTGGATGTGAGGAGCTGGTAGTCACCATTATCAGCCAAGGGTAAACAAGGAGAGAATGTGAGAGCGGCGGTGATATGAGACCGAAAGTGGGGTTCGGGAGTGAGGAGAAGGACAAGGAAATGACTGCTGTCTTCAGCTCCTGAGGCATACTTGTGGATGCCTTATGGTCCCCATGAACAAGCATCTAATAGTTGGTATCGGAAATCAAAAAGAAGACTCAACGACAAGAATTATAATCGGTTGAATAGCTTATCTGTGATTGAGGGGTGTTTCCTACACCGCGACTCCAGCCTGCGACGTCAGATAGGCGCAAGCCGTGCCCTATGATATTTACCCCACCAATTTACGCTCAATTGTAATTGGAGCTGATCTTCAAGACCGGTATGTCATCACTACCCGGCTGCGCTCTCTTCTGGTTACACAGGTGCAAAATCTCATCTTTGCAATTAAGACCTGCTTCCTTTCGAGATCTCTCGATTTTGTGAACTATTTCCGCAATGGGCCCTTCACTCTCGAATCCTCGTGGCCGAAGAAAGCCGAAACCAGAGCGCCCCTCCTCCTACCATCGCTAGTCACACGATGATAGTTATGGCGGCTAATGCAATTCAACTTTAGTAGGACACACTGAAGGCTCTATGAACGGGCTCTCTCAATCTTGCACCTTCTCTAGCCCGGTCGGACGGCGTCACACCTGGGCTCACCCTAGTGACCGAGTCCGGAGCTTGCTGAGGCTCGGAAATGTGGGCAGCGCCGAAGCATCCACCGACGATCCCACCGCGCAAGAAAAAAAGTCTCAGGTACATCCAATCCTACCGCAGTGGAGCGGCACATTCTGTTGGGCGAGAACGGCCGGTGTACCGACCAACGGTCCCAAACAGCCCCTCTAGCTTGAGAAATCGTTCCCTTTTTCGATCTTGCCAGTCCCAGATCTGCTAGTGCATCTCTCCCAGGGCCACCTGAAGAAAAAAGAGCTCTGGTAGCTGTCTTGGAGGTGTCCACTATCAGCGCCGGTGAGTCTCCAAGGGTCTCGGCGCAAAAAAGATCTTAAATGCCTGTGATATCCGCCCACCCAACCTCAACTCCTCCTCTACACTCCAGTCGCCGAACGTCCTGCCCCTCGTGCAACCCCTGCGTTTCCCAGAAGCACGCCTCAGAAACCGCTGCGATCGAGCTCATTGGTATCATTTCGACATCAAGCATCAAAAAAGTGGCCAGAAAAGACTCGTTGCACGCACTTCCATTGCTCCGTAGTCGAGTATGGCTCACGAGTACGATGACGAGGCGCGCGACGCCTACGACAACAAGACTCCCAATGAGTTCAGCGCTGCGGCGTCCACCACGGGACCGTTGGCCGGCCCTTCGAACCAGGAGGAGCACGAGGAGTACGACGCCGAGACGGTCGAGAAGGTCTACAGGTTGGTGTTCACCAGGTCAAGTTGCCTCGCCGTCGACAACAATGCTGACCAATGTCCAGGAAGCTTGACCTTCGCATCATCCCAGGTAAAAGTCTCTGCGCAATCTTGGCAACACACTTTCGTTAACACGCGCAGCCTTCTGGTCGCTCTACTTTCTATGCTCAGCCATCAGGTCCAATATCGGCATTGCGCAGACGATGAACTCAGCTCAAGGGCATGATTTGATGTCGGTTCTGGGACTCACCGCCAAGGATACCTCCACCGCTCTGGCTCTGTTCTACGTGGCATATGTCATCTTTGACTGCCCCTCGAACCTGGTCATGGCCAGACTGAACCCTAGAGTATGGATGGCCCGTATCGTCATCGCGACTGGCATCGTCGGAACCTGCTTCGCCGCCGTTCAGAGCGCGTGGAGTGTCAAGTATGTATTGTGATAACCCTCAAACTCCAGAGACTAACGGAATCAGGCTCCTCCGGTTCCTGCTCGGCGTCGTCATTGCTGGCATGTGGCCCGGTATGTCCTATTATCTGACCTTATTCTACCCGCCGTCTCGCACTGGCAAGAGAATCGGCATGTACTTCACCGCTGCCCAGCTTTCGGCTGCTGTGGTCGGTCTCGTTTCTGCAGGCTTTCAGCTCATGGACGGCATGGGTGGTCTCGTCGGTTTCCGCTGGATGTTCCTCATCTACGGCCTCGTTGCCATTGTTCTTGGCTTCTCCCTGCTTTGGTGGCTCCCTGACCGCCCTCTGCCTCCAGGCCAGAAGCGGGAGCGCTCAAAGTGGTTGAAGTGGATCCCACCCACGCCAGAGGCTCTGTCCGGCCACGATGCCATCGTCCACTACTCTGAGCTTCGCCGGGTGTACCACCCGAGGCCGTGGACTGTCGGAGATCTCTTCAGAGTTCTGATCGACTGGCGTCTCTGGCCGTTGACCATGATGTACTTTGGAGTCGTCGGCGTCGGTATCGGCACTCAGCTCTATGGATCCGTCATCATCCGCTCGATCGTGCCCACAGCATCCAGCATCGAAGTCAGCTTGCTCTTTGCTCCCATCTGGATCGTATGTATTACCTTTCGCAGTCCATTATACATAAGCTAACATGAAGAAGATGGACTTGATCGCGATTCTCCTCATCATGCCAATCTCCGACCGCTTCCACCGCCACAGGCCCTTCATCTTCTCAGCCGCCGTGTGCATTCAGATCGCCGGACTTCTGATGGTCACCTTCGCTCTCGACAACGGCTGGGCCCGCTACGGCGGCCTCCTGATGGTCGGCTTCGGTCTCGGCCCGACCGTCCCAAACTGCATGACCTGGACAAACGAGATCTTCCAGCGCCGCCACGGCGAAGTCGGCGTCGCCGCGGCCTCCGCCCTGGTGTCGGGCCTCGGAAACCTGGGAAGCATCGTCACGACGTACGCATTGTACACGGGCTGGCCAGAGGACGCCGCCAAGGGGCGCTACCAGTACCGCCGCAGCAACTACGCCATGATCGGCATCCTATGCGCCAGCATCGTCAGCAGCTTCGCCATGTTGGTCCTGTTGAAGATCTTTGGCAACCCGCCCGCGAACAAGATCTCTTCCGACTCCTCCAGCGAGATCCAGGACGGCGCCGCGAGACGTGAGGCTCGGGAGCGCGGTCTCGGCAAGCTCTTTGGCCAGCGTCAGGAAGCGTAGATGCTTCCAGCGGTATGCGCCAGGTTCGCATGAGGTCCGCGCTACCTGACGACCTCTAGATTCAACACACTGCCGTGAACCACACTCGACAAGCAACCAAGGCGCCCATATATTCTCGGCAGTTCAACCTTGCCCAACATACTTAATATTTCGACCCATCTTATTGCTCGTTCTGCTCAATACACTTACACTATATATCACCCATCTAATGTTTGGATCCGCTTTTCATCCGAGGATCGGGCGCGAGTTCACCCCTTCGCAACGGCGATACAAACAAAGCGACGGGAAACGAGGCTGGATTATCCTCGACGGCGACAGTGCTTCTACGCCATCGCTGGGAAATGGCGTATTGGACTGGAGACGAAGAAACTTCTTGACCGGCGACAATGCTGCTGCGCTATCGCTCTTTTCGGTCCGTCTCATGGGAAACAAAAAAAAAAGAAGGGGAGGGGAGGGGAGGAAAGCATACGAAGGGGAAGACGAGGAGATGTCCTCCATGTTTGGTTTTCTGGTTTTGGTTTTTGCATTTTCGATGATACCCCATACGTGTTTAGATACGCCGTCTTTCGAGATCTTCGCCAACTCGGCCGCGAAAGTGCCGCTGCGCCATCGCTGGGACTGCGTGTTGAACCGAGGCAAATGCTGGCGACAATGCTACTGCGCTATCGCCCAGGCTTGCCTCGTGGGCGCGCTTTGCGAATTATTTCGATTTTATTTATTACGAATATACAACGTTGTTTGTCTTATTCAGCTCATTCATGGATAGACAATGGTGAAGGAGAACCCATATGTCTTGGTATTATCCTGCCTACGTGAGGTTCAAAAACTCATGGCTACTCTTCCTACATCATGGTCAGCCTCTATTGTGCTAACGCTCAGCGCGGCACGGCGTGTGCTCAGCAGAGGAGAAACAAAGTGTGAAACGTTTTGATTCATTCCTCTTCGCCCCGTCGTTATTAAAGCCGGTAGGACAGGAACACCACGAGGACCGCACGCGCCTAGGCCCGAGGAAGAAATGTGGCGTGTAACCCAGTGCCACGAGCACCACATGGCGCACGTCAACGACTAGATCGTCGCAGCAGGCGAAACTCGAGGGCACGAATACGAGGAGGTTCCATGTAGATGAATTCATGGACGCCTTCAAGCCCCCTTCTCTCTCCCACACTCCAAGACTAAACATTCCAGAAGGACGGGGAGAAATCTGAATGCAGACATAATAGACGAAAGAGCATTGTGCGCCACAACAGCCTCTTCTTGGTGGTTCGCCCACTGCGCCGGGTAAATGCCATGTCACCACACAAACCTCGAAACGATGACGGCGTCTGTCTGCGGTCCCACGACATCGCATCGCCTCCGTTACGCATGGCGCGGCCTTTTCAGCCCTCCGTCGCGTCCTGCGGCGAAGGGAACTCGAGGCCATTCGTTACTGGACATTCATTTGAGGCCCTGAAGTCGGCAATCCGCATGATCGTGCCTATCAGAAACGCAGAGCTCAGCCTTCTCCAAAGCTGGGAATGACCACACTTAGGTTGTGCTCCGTTTCCTCTCCCACCTCGTCCATCTCATTGCTTTCTCAAGATATGACTGGCGTCTCTTCTATCGCCGTTCCTTGCAGCTTGCTTACTCACTTGCGCTGTGCTCCTGTGACGCGATCGGAGTGGGCGTCATATCACCCCCTCCTCCCCTTCCTCGTCCAACGTTGCGCCAGGGTGTGAGACCGTATGATGGAACTTTTCCAGAGAGGCGTAGCTCAGTCTTTTCTTCTCTCCCTCCCTTCCTTCCGCTTACTTAGCTGCCAAGCGATTTGCTCATGCCGTTGGCTCGGAGCTGACGTTGGATCTCTTTTTTAAACGGCGTTGGAACAGGGGTCCTATCAGCCCACGAAAACGGCGTGCGCCAATCTCGGGCCCGATTGGCAGGAACATCTTTCCAATTCTGTCTCTGGGTTCCATTCAATACGAAAGTCCCTTTGTCACTAATGAGCATTGTCCCCCATACCGGTGTGCACATTCGTCAACCTGCTTGCTTGCATCACCCACTCACTCCCTGTTGGCTGGTTTTCGGCAGCACAATCCGAATCTCTACATCCCGGTCGTCGTCGTCCACTTAGACATCCCGTCCAGGATTGGGAAACCCATGTCGTCGATAACAAGGATGGTCGACTAATTGGCCCGCCCCCAAAGCAGACGCAACGGAGAGGCGTGGGGACTGGGGGGCAGCAGGGCAGGGAAGAGAGGGCCGTCCCGGGGTCGTGTTGCGCTCGTACACCGACCAACCACAACCCCCGGATCCCGTGAGCCTCCCCTCTCCCCCCAAATCTGCGGTGCATGCGGCACAGCTCGGCCAAGAAGGGGGGCGGAAAATGTGGCTCCTCCTCCCGCATATGCGCCGTGAACCGTACACACGACACGCGGTGCAGCCACATCTGCCACATGCCAGAGGCCGAGAGAGATGACCTCCAACAACACACCCCCTGCGACTGATTACTATCACTACGAATTGGCAGCATCGTTCTGGCGGGGTCGTACCGAAGAGAGAGAAACGTCCGCGAGTCTGAGGGTGCTGGGGTTAAGATGATCTCTTCATCGGAGACGGTCCCGAGAAGAGGCGATGTCGACTTAGACGGTTGGATGTACCTTTAGGCTGTATTGTGGATTTCGAACTGTGCCTTACTTCTGCGCCGCAGCTCGTTGATACCCACCCCTTGCAAAAAACACCCATGGTTAACGGCGGCCGCTGTGTGATGTGTTGCCTTCCTATTCTTGGTAATTCTTCCAAAGGGAGGGCGGGGAGGGGAGAGGTACGGCCAAGGTAGTAAGTATATCAGTCCTGTCCCGCGTGGTTGCTCAGAGAAGGGACAGCATGCCGTGCTCCCAACTCGACAAGGTCTCTCGTTGCTCACCATGGCAGGCGAAGTCGACAACCCCCCCTCAGACGATAGACCGCTCCCTCGAAGCCGAGATGGGGGAGAGCAGGAAGGAAGTATTGGGCAGCGGAAAAGGAGGAGCAGCACCGACGACCACGGCGAAGAAGGCAGCATCACCACCGCGGACGAAGCCACCGTAACCAAGCCGGCGCCGGCGCGCAGCAAGGCCCAGACAACGATTCTCATGCTAGCGCTCTGCATGGCCGTGTTCCTCGCCGCCCTCGACGCCGTCATCATCACGACCGCCCTGCCGACGATATCCAGCGCCGTCAGCGCCTCTGACTCGGGCTTCGCGTGGATCGGCGCCGCGTACCTCCTCGCCAACGCCGCCTCCGTCCCCTTCTGGGGCAAGGTCAGCGACATCTTCGGGCGCAAGCCGATCCTCATCATCGCCAACGTCGTCTTCATGGTCGGGAGCCTGGTGGGCGCGCTCGCGGGCACGCTGACGATGCTCGTCGCCGGGCGCGCGGTGCAGGGGCTCGGCGGCGGCGGGCTGATGGCGCTGGTGAACATCACCATCGGCGACCTCTTCAGCCCGCGGGAGCGCGGGGCGTACTTCGGCATGATCGGCGCAGTGTGGGGTCTAGCGAGCGGGATTGGGCCGCTGATCGGGGGTGGGCTGACGGAGAACATCTCGTGGACGTGGTGTTTCTGGATAAACCTCCCCATCTCGGGGGTCTCGCTGCTCATCCTCGTCTTCTTCCTCAAGATCCATACGCCCAAGACGCCGCTCGTGAAGGGGCTGATGGCCATTGACTGGCTCGGGTCCATTACATTCACGGGAGCGACGTTGATGCTCCTGCTGGGGCTGCAGTTCGGCGGGCTGAGGAACCCCTGGGGCAGCCCGACGGTCATCTGCCTCATCGTCTTCGGCTGCCTTGGCTTCGGCGTCTTTGCGCTGGTGGAGAAGTTCCTGGCAAAGTACCCCCTAATGCCGCGGTCGCTCTTCAGCGAAGTCTCAGTCGTGTTCTGCTATGTCGCCTGCTTCTGCCACGGCGTCGGCTTCGCAGCGATAGCGTTCTTCCTCCCGCTATACTTCCAGACCGTCCTCGGGGCCAGCCCGATACAGTCCGGCGTATGGCTTCTCGCCACGGCACTCCCGCTCGCATTCTGCACCATCGCCGTGGGCGTCACGATCAAGAAGACGGGCCGGTACAACGAGATCATCCGCGTGGCTATGGCGCTCACGACGCTCTCCTTCGGGCTCTTCATCACCTTGCCCTCGCGGCGCGACTGGCCGAAGCTCGTGCTCTTCCAGATCGTCGCCGCGCTCGGCATCGCGCCGAACCTGCAGGCGCTGCTGATCGCCCTGCAAGCGCTCGTGCGGCAGCAGGACCTCGCCGTCGGGACCGCGACGTTCGCGTTCGTGCGGCACATCGCGCTCGGCATCGGCGTCGTCGTCGGCCAGGTCATCTTCCAGGGCGTCATGGGCCGGCACGCGGCGTCGCTCGTCGGCGCGGGCATCCCGGAGGACGTGGCGGCCAAGATCGGCAGCGGGTCGACGATTGCTGCGCACGGGTTGTTTGAGACGCTCTCGGGCGCGCAGCAGGATGTCGTGAGGACGGCCGTGACGGACAGCATCAGCAAGATGTGGATCTTCTTCTGCGTCGCGTCGGGCGTTGGCTTCATTTCGACATTTTTTATCAGGCAGATTGAGCTGCGGCAGACTCACACGGAGACCAAGACCGGGCTGGAGGTGGAGGAGGCCAAGGTCATTGAAGGTGCGCGAGAGAAGCCGAGGGATGAGGAAGAAGCTTGAACAAAAACCGGCCTTATTTTGCGACTAGACTGCGAATTGTTGATATTTCCCGAGATTGTACATGATGATGGACGAACATAGATGACCAACAAGGCGCAAACCGAAGCCCCATAATTGCGAATAGAGTGTTTGAACATCTAAAAACGCTGACTTAGAACGAATCTTCACTACTGAGGAGCAAGAAATTGATCAACCCTCCAGAATTAAATTAAATAAAGAAGAATTGCGACGGCAATTCGAGAAGACATGGCGAAGGTTGGCGGTTGTGTTTGCGCTAGGGGTCATGAGTGTGTTTTGCGCGTGGTTGGATATCAGCAAATCCTCGATAGTCTAGTGGTGAGGATATCGGCTTGTCACTTACACGATTCGCCGGGGACCGGGGTTCAATTCCCCGTCGAGGAGTTTCTTTTTGCATTTTTGCCAATCTGCCCACTAAATCTTAGTTGATTTGATTCTCTCTCTCCTGTTAGATTCTGACATTTATATCTTCTTCGCCTGTTCTATTCGCCTCGCTGTAAATCGCTGTATAGAGACGTCGGGTCCATACTTACTATTAACCCCACGTGTAAGTCGCCGCCGCTTTAGGAATACACGCTCACAACACAGACGGCTTTCTGTGCACTCTCTCGTGATCGATATTAATGGAATTGATTACTTGACACGTGCACATCCATCCATTTAGTGTTACTATGACCGAACCTCTCTTCTCTGTTGGCTGTTTCTCTAGTCCCGTGGGGATTTTGATACAAATGCAATTGTTGCATCGTTGCATCGTTGCATCATCCCACCCTCTCCTAATGCTATGGCTCAGTAAACATATCGCCAACCTCTCTCAACCCCAGAATGCTCAGAATACCCCTCGGCCTCGTCCAGCTTCTTGTTCAGCTTGATCGCGCGCCACTTTGCCAGCCCGGCCGAGGTGACGACTAAGAGACAGCCGACCAGCACTAAGCCACCCCCGAGGCGGTAAAAAGGCTCCTGCGAGCGCGGCCAAAAGTACGGGCTGAACCAGTGGCTCGTTTGGCTGATGCAGTTTGCAATGGCAATCAGCGCGGCCTTCTTGCTTCTCGGAGCGGGTACGACGGACGTCTCCCAAGAAAGTTGCAGGTTGAGACCGTTGTAGGTACCCGAGATGAGTAAGAACAGGCCAAAGTAGCGGGCGCCAATGTTCATTGTCGATATGAGGACAGAGATGCCGACAGCGCTGCCGATGATTGGCAGGACGACGTGCCAGAAAGACTCTTGGTTGCGACCCGAAGACCAGGCGCAAACGCAGGCGAATATGAAGGAGAACGCGTAGGGAGGTGCTTGGATGAGGTATGTTGTCAACTCGCCAAAGTCGAAGGTCTTTACTATCTGCGTCCTTCTAGTCAGTGTTTCTTCATCCTTAAGGTGATGATGCAAGACTTACAGATGGGAAGAAGTCCTTGAAAGACTGTGCTGTGACGAGAGCAAAGTGCATGAGGCAGAAGATCCAAGTAAACGGATCTCTGACCGCATCCTTCAGACCATCCCAGGTTCCACCTACGGTCTCTTCTTGGCCGCCGTTGGAGCACAAAATCCTATATTGTGCCATCTCTCGCTCAGCGGGCGTGAGGAAGCGGGTGGTTTGCGGCCAGTCGGGCAGAAGAAAGAAAGCTGACAAGCCTATTACAAATGTCGCAATGCCCTCAATGAGAAAGAACCATTGCCATGAATGGAGATTTCTAACTCCGTCCATTGTGGTGAGGATTCCTGCTGCGAGAAAGCCTGAGATGATGTTGGAGATGGTGTTTCCCGCATGCCAGACGGCCATGCGCATGGGGCTTTCGTGCTTGTTGTACCAAGACGACGTCACTAACACTGTTAACTTCCTTCAGATTCCTCAACCCTGAGGGGAAACACTTACGAAGTGTAATGCCCGGGAAAAACGGGGCTTCGCACAACCCTGTGAGGAAGCGAAGGGCAGCGAAACTTGCGCCGCTGTTCAGAGAGTCAGCAAATGTTCAACTGCAATGATGCTGATCTCCAGGGATTGGCTCACTTCTTCAGAGCTGGTGTGCAGATCGTTGCTGATCCCCACAAGAGCATGATTGAGGGGAGAAACCATCTGGGATTGGACTTGGCCAGCCACAAGTTGCCTGGCAATTGGCCAATGAGATAGCCGATGTAGAAGGTGGAAATCCCCAAATTCCACATGGTATCTGACATATGCAGATCTTCCTGCATTCCGGCCAATCTCGCATTAGAGACGTTGATCCTGTCGAGGTAACTAGAGTCTGTGTTAGTCGGTCTTCAAAGCACAGTTGCTCCCTCTCGAATGTCGATATCGGATCATTATACTTGCCTCATGAGAAACACTACAGAGGTTCCATTAGTAAACGGATTCAGATATGAGGCTGATCAAAACGCCTTACTCAATGTGATGGTCGGCATCATGCGCCAGTCAACTTTCTTCACCACGCTCTTGTTCAACTGCTCCATCTCGGCGTTGCTCAAGTCGCGAAGGAGGTCGAATCGACCCTGGATCTCTTCTGGAGAGAACTGCCGATTCGGCTCCGACTTGTCAGCAGACGAGCGTTCAATCTCATCACATCTGACGACATCTTTGCCGATGCCACTGTCGTTGAGCCCTCCATTGGAAGCCATGACCATGAGAAATCTGGGAGTAATGGAAAAAAGTTGTCAGTGACACTAAAGAGCTGTGTCTTCCCAACACCTCACAATTCCCCCTCCATGATAAGGGTCTCACTCTTATATCTGTGCAACTTGCGCCAGAGCAAAGCAATCTGAACTCCGCATAGCCTTGCTCGTTCAGTGTTAACCAAGATGTCCTGGATCTTGGCATCTGGGGACTCCAGACCAACCCCGCGTTTGGATTACCTAGCATTGCCAACGAAACTGGCAAACCTGGGATACTGCTGGGATGTGCTGGTGAGTGAGACGGGATCTCCACAGCGGGTTTGTTGCGTTCCCGCGGGAGGGAGATACCGGGGTTATCCGCGACCCCTCATTCCTTCGCGCTACCGGAAACGTTTAGTACGATGGTTGACAAGAGACAGACGGAGACAGTCCGTTGATCCAGGAGCGCTACTCTGACATTCAGGTGCGTCTAGGAGACCTGCCGCCCTAAGGTGGCATTAGATACGCAAGCAGAGTGAGTAAGGTGAGTTAAGGATAACTTAGTGTAATGGATAAGGACGTCCTGGTCGACGTAATTTTAAAAGGGCAAGGAAAGTACTAATTACAAAGAGCGGAGGTAAGAAAGATAGCGTGGGGAGGAAGGGCAGCGCAGGCAGTAATAAAGGACGGCAGCGGCGGCTTAGCAAGTTGTCGGTCTGGTAGTTAACAGTTTCGCTGGAGATGCTTAAGCATCCAAAGTGTCTAGTTCAGTCAGGTCTAGAAGCAACATGAAAATAACACCAGAGGATCTTCGCATAATCTTTGGTTCCTCAGATATTCGCGTCGCTTAACAAGTCAAAATTATATTTCTATTTTAGATAATTGCTATGTCTGGAAGGGATCCCTTACTTCTCGCTATAGCTCAAACCATCTTTACGTGATATAATGTTGGACAGTGGCAAATGCATCTCAGACCTACGTACGAATTATGATCCATTGATGACAAAATACAATCGTGAACCTGAACTCGGCGATTTCGTGCTTTTTACGATTGTACTGGCGGCGTTTGGCTGCAGAGACTAGGGGTAAAAGGGACATGCTCACAGGAGCGTACCACGGGTCTGTCCTCTTGTCGACGTCGGCAGTCTATTCCACAACTTGGTTTTTGGGGCAGCAATGAGGCTGGCGAATTTACTGCTGGCCACACTCAAGGAGTTGAGGTGGCGACCACGGTGACAGTGGCGACGAAGCGCATGGTGATGTGAGAAGAGTGTGGTTGGAAGAAAAGTCGCTTGCTGTGCTGTTGTCGAGACAGAATCGCACACACAAAATGCCGAGGAAATATCGACGTTTTTATGCTCATGCAACGAAGCCCTTCAGCGTGGGTCCCTCGAGCGCTTTCGAGGCCCTTTGATCGACAATGTTGACGATATTCTCGATCCTTCGCCGATATCGCTGGCATGATCAAACGCCGCAACAGCAGGAATGACGCTCCAAAGAGGCACGTATCGTTGGCATGGAAATGCAGACGGCCAAAGAGACATCGAACTTTCTACGACTTCGCCGCGCTCTTGTCATTGGCGCGGGAACAACACGAGGCCTCAACATCGGGTTTACTCGGACTTCTGGAGCTCCGAGGCAGAGAAAAGACCCAACCGGCTCGGAAAGTCGGCCCACGACAAGGTCTATTGTACTGTTCCAACACCGGCAGGTAGACCGCGTCGGCCGCCAAGGATGACTTACATGATCTTTAGTCACTAATCGGCAAGAAGGCCTTCGCCAAGCAGCCAAATCAATCTGATAAGATGGCATGGCGCAGGGTCATTGTGGAGGTATACTGAACTAACTTCCAACAACCAACACCTCTACAAAGTATTTGAGCACTTCGTCCGGCGGTCATCAGTTGTTTTAGGCCTTCCTCTTCAACATTTCCGGCTTCAATATTTACAGCAACACGAACTGTTGGTGAGTTACATACCATAACCTACGGCAACTACACCGCATTTATATTCTCTGTAGCGAGACACGCTTAGCAGCATGCATTTACATCCTTCCAAGCCCTCATCTCGGCTCTCCGCCTTGGCCGACAACATCGCCGAGACTGACACTCTTCTGGGCTCCACCGACTCGTTGGAAGCGGATGCAGACGCGGAAGGCGCCTGGGGCTTGGAACAAGCGCAGACCCGCGGGGATGACTACGACACCAAAGTCCTTGTGGCAACTTGTATCATCATCGTCGTACCGGCGCTAACGGGCGCCTTTTGGTGGTTCTTTAACTAACGGCATAACCAGGTGAGACATCTTATGCTGTTGCAATGCCACACTGTGCTGACTATCCGCAAGAGTGCGGCGTTCAATAGATACACCAGGTGAACTGCGGTTGCTGGAGGTGATCAGGACCGCATGGCGGAAGACGTTGATCGGCTCCATAAATGCCGCGTATGCCGCCTTGAAGGCTCTCTATCAGCCAGGAATTGATTAATCCCTCGGGGGTCTCTTCTGGGCGCCGTAATTGAGTGTGGTGAATACCTTTTGAGACGCTGGAGGAATGCACCATTGGTGGGCCATGAATCTTCAGCCGATTTGCACATGTCCGCCAATCCCTGGTTCAAAAGCGAAGAATCAATGTAATGTGAAACCAAGAAAAGATGAAAATTGTGAGAGAAGGGACTAGATGAAATACTAGGAATTCATCGTTTGCGGCCAAGTATGCAGCTAGCTTGGTGGATATGGCTGCAAAAGACTAGCAACCTTTTCATACACGGTGAACACGATTCCTCCACTCAAAACCAGACGTCCAAGTCTCATTGTGCTTCCGCTCCAAAATCCTCGAACACCTCTTTCCGCCAGCACCAACCTGAATGCCTCGGTTGTACTAGCCCCCTTGGCAGACTGCGACATGGTCTTGATTGTGTCAAACGGTTGGGTTGCATACACCGTGATTGTCCCTGCAATAGCGCCAGAACCGAAAGTCACCAGACTATTGTTCGGCAAATTGCTCTGTTTGGTAAACTCTCTCAAGATATTGTAAGATCCCATTCGCACTGCCGAAGTCGCTGATTGTTTCATTGTCGTTGACAACAAACCGCGGTAAACTTCACTGATGCCATGCTGGCGCAGCATAGAGAATAGAGCGTGCGTTCCGCCGGAATACTTTCTTGTGAACGATTTAGCATCGTCAATTCTTCAAAAATTTGCGGTTAGCAGTCGCGTTTCGGCATTTTCGTCATGGCGTTGAAATTCAGATATCACTCACAGCGCAGTTTTGACACGCTCTGTGGGAGTCACTGCAACGACACTTTCAACGCATCCTGCGATCATGCCAGCCAAGATGCCCCTCGCCGGCGTCAACTTTCCCTTCTCGTCCATCAACGCATTGCGGATGGAGTCAAAAGATAGGAACCGAACCCCAGCTTTGAAGGTTGTGCCCTATGAGGTGATTAGCGAAGGTGGTCGACGAAAGTCATCGAGATATTTGGAAGAGTCATTCGTACAATAATCAAGGTCGAGCATCCAGTATAGATAGCTCTCAAACCGTCTTGCTTGGCGACTTGAGTAATGACCGCGAATGGGTTTTTAGATGTTGTCGTGTAAAGTTGAGCTCTTGTTTTTGCGAACTCAAACGGATACTTCCCTTGTCATCAGAATCGTTTCCCGAGAGGCTCAGAAATGGAGCTACTCACGGTTGTGGCCGCTTCAACACCTCCAGCAATACCGCCAGAAATAAGAGAAACACCTGGTGAAATCTGGTGCTTCTTGCCAGCACTGGGAGTATTGAGGACCGGTTGCTTAACAGAAGTATTGTTCGATGTTGACATCCCCATGCCCGGCGATTGAGGCGTTGTGAGTGCCGTCATGATTGGTCATACACCTTCTGGCTTCGTATCTTGAATTTCTTAGTTGTAAGAAACGGGCAAGGTATTCTGCGTACCGCTACCGTAAAAAGATATAGGGGAATCACGCCTAGCCGACGACGATGAGTTGAAGGGGCTGGTTTGTGAACTTTGAAAGGATGACATTCCAAATGGAACCTACGATTCACATCACTCCCAATGTTTGGGAACTTGGCTTGCGGTTACCTGGGCATGCACGGTCTGTCTTCATCCTAGATTCCCGCGGTTGAACGTACAGGGTTAGGGGCTCGAGTGGGTAGTCTGACCAATCACGAACCTTGCCGCTTCCGCGGGATGGACGGGAACAACGCTCCCGTCTAGTGCTACCCGTGAGGGAGGCAATCTGCCCGTTTTCCACAATGCCGAGGTCAATTACCATCCGCCAATCTATCTTTCGCCCACGGGAGCTGTCATTTACATCCCATTCCTTCCTCCAATTTCAGTCCTTTCTTAATGGCGCCCCTCGGGGACAACATCACAGTCTCGGGCCGTCCTCGTAGGCGGGCCGTAGAGGCCTGCACATTCTGTCGACGTCGCAAGGTTCGTCATCCGCGGAGTCTCATACAGCACTTCTCCGCCATGATTGTCGTTCCCACGGCTAACATGTTCCGTTCAGATCAAGTGCAATAACGAGCAGCCTACATGCGCCAATTGTAAGACTTACGGCAAGGATTGTGTCTACGAACCCTTGTCTGCCCCTCCTAACAATCCGCCTCCTGCCTCGACTTTGGCTCGTCGTCAGACCGAGCGTCGGCGGCGGACTACACCGAGGGATTCCCGGCAATGGTCCCATCCTCCATCGGGGCCAGAACGCCAAGATGACAGCGGCGGCGAGACCCGTCAAGATACGCCATCACATGTACCTGGCAATGTGGAAGCTCCAGCAAGCCTGCCGGGTCGAGGTCAGCAAACCCAGCGGGAGGAAACACGGGTAAATCAGACTCCCTCTCATCGCGCCGGCGTGTCTCGTATTGTGGTCTCTGCGAATGGGGTATCGAGTTACCATGGCCGCACCAGTGCCCTTTTTGAGGAAAGCCTGCAGGAGAGGACGTCTGTCGCGGACTTGCGCCCGCGGATGCCGGACGAATGGATAGAGAAAGGACTAGTCGCCGAAGCAGCTAGACAACGTGGGTTGATGATACTCTTGAGGGTGATCTCTTGGTGTTGACTTGATGTTAGGTCAACTCGAGGACTTCAACTACCGCGCTGGTACGCTAGACTTTGACGGCGTAGATCCCGAACTGGGGATGCATCTGCTCTCACTGCATTGGAACCGTCAGCATCATTCGTTCCTGCTGACGTACCGTCCGGCTTTCATGAGAGACATGGCGTGTGGCGGGCCTTACTTCTCGAAGATACTGCTGAATGCCATCTACTTTGGTGCGTCTAAGTTCAGCCCTCGTAGAGAGGTCCGAAGGAACCCCAGCGATGTGCGGACGGCCGGCTGGGCATTCCGTGAGCGCGTCCGCAAATTACTCGGCGATGCGCTGGATAGCAGTGATATCACCACGATTCAGGCTCTGCTGGTGATGACGAACTCGCTGTTTGCACTCGGTGATGAGAGAAGCGCTGCTTGGTTGTACGCAGGGCTGGCGTTTCGCATGATCATCGACTTGGGTATGCATGTCGATGCGCCGGGCCTTGGTATCACACGGAAGTTCTCTGATGAGGATCTCGAAATACGGCGAAGGGTATTCTGGGGGGCATTTGGTACGACACTTTCGCTAACTGTACGCATTGTTTTGGCTATTAACTCGTTCTCCAGTTGTCGACAAGATTCAAAGCCTCTACCAGGGTCGTCCTGCTTCGTTGAAAGAGTCTGACACTTTAGTTCCCATCAAGTTTCTCGACACCTTCGAAGAGTTCGAGAATTGGGCGCCCTTCGCCTACTCAGCTCAGAACAACAGCTACCCTGGGTCGCCTGCCTACAGTGTATCAACTTTCACCCATCTGTGTAGGCTGTCAGTTGTCATGAGCGACATTCTAAGTTGCATCTATACGGAGCGAGCTTTTGACAAAAGCCCCCAAGAACTATCTACGATGCTTGAGAACCTCAGCTCAAAGCTCGCGGCGTGGAAAGACGCCTTGCCAACCCATCTAATATTCGACCCCAAGAGCAATACCAAAGTTCCTCCACCGCATGTGCTCAGCCTACAGTAAGTCGATCCTGTCCACGTACACCAAACTCAAATGAGCCACAGTCTAATGATGCGCCAGTGCAATGTACCATGTCCTCACAATCCTCTTACACCGTCCTTTTGTTGCTGACGGCCATCTCTACAATACATCTCGCTCCATGTCAATAAACTCCTTCATTACATGTGCCTCAGCAGCCGATAGCATAGTAAGCGTGCTCCGAGTGTACGACAAGGTATTTTCGGTACGGCATGCACCTTATCTGATATCGTATGCAACGTACGTGGCAGCAACCATTCATGTTCGCATTGCGGCAAAACGTAGCACTGAGTCGGGAGCTCGCGAGTGCTTGGAGACGTGCATGGCCGTCTTCAGAGAGAACCAAGAAACAAACTGGGCTGTCAGAAGGGCAAAAGCAATAGTTGAAGGTCTAATGACAAGATTGGGCGTTGGCTTTTCTCACGATAATGGCAATAGCCAAGTCTCCAATACGGCGGACACCAGCTCAGAGAGTGCGCGGAGTCGTCCTGGAAGAAGACCAACGAGCGGTCTTGGGGAACGTGGCCGCGGGGAGCAACAAAGACCACATCCACCGGTGTTGGAGGACGGATCTCCATCAATGGGCTGGTCTGACATTGATGGTATCATACAGAGCTTCGTCCGTGGACAAGATTTCACCTCAGTGCCGATGGAAACGGGACAGCCGGAGACACAACTCCAGGTAACGCCTCAGACTATGAGTAACCAGCAGCCCGGCGGCGACTTGGCAAGTGGCGTCGGCAACCAGTCATGGATTCAGGGGCTACCAGAGGCGGATGCCGGCGCTGCCTCATTCGATGACTTGCTCTTTGGATTCAATGGATCCGCTCTTGATAGCTTTTTCTGATGAATGATATGCCATATCGTCACATTAATCATTCAGCCGTGTTACTATCCGTTCCATGCGGTGTCGGGCCCCTGTCCGTGACGGGCCTGAGAGTCCGGGCGGAAGTGGCAAGATCAATCCCGCGGGTGAACATGACTCCCGCGGGTTCGACGCCCACATACACCTGGTGATATTCGCAATCTGGAATAGAATACGCATACGAATGTCGTCACGTATCATCCCGTGATGGCGATGTCATCAACCATTTATGAACTCTGTCTGTCTCGTCGAGCCCTAGAGGCCCCTAGTGCTTTCTCTCCAACGCCCTTAAGATCATCAACCTAGGTCTCAGGCCTTCGAAGATTGTTTCCAAATGCTTTCACAACCAAAAGTCTTACAAAAACATACCGCAATACAAAGATATATTCACCAGTTATCGCATCATAGTCCGACACCATTATCCATTGCAATCATGGCAGTAACGCCAGCAATGTCGAAACGCCGAGTCAGGCACTCGCTCCCGGCGGTCCTGATGCGAGCCGGGACGTCAAAGGGGCTTTTCATCCACCGCTCACATCTGCCGCCCTCATTAGATGACTGGGCCACGCCCCTGCTTGCAGCCATGGGTTCCAAGAACAACGACGCTCGCCAGATCGACGGTGTAGGCGGCGGGACCAGCGTCACCTCCAAAGTTGCAGTCGTCGCCCCATCGGACAGACCAGGCGTCGACGTCGAGTACACCTTCGTCCAAGTTGCCGTGGGCAGCGAGACTGTCGACCTCAGCGGCAATTGCGGAAACATCTGCTCCGGAGTCGGGCCGTTTGCAGTTCAAGAGAGATTGGTCGCACCGTTGCCAGGCGCTAGGTCAGTCGATGTGAGAATCTTCAACACCAACACCTCCAAGGTCATTGTGGAAACGGTCTACGTTGATGAGGACGGCAACGTAGAAGAGGATGGCGACTGTCTCATTCCGGGAGTCAAGGGTCCTGGAAGCGAGATCAAGGTTGCTTTTATCGAGCCGGTGGGAAGCATGACTGGCAAGCTCTTTCCCAGTGAACGTCGTTCTGAGAGAATCCTTGTCCAGGAGGTTCCTACACTTGGGCCGTTTGTAGTTGAAGCGACATTGATAGACTCCGCGAACCCGTTTGTGTTGGTCGACTCTCAGACTCTCCCAGCCCAACTCAACATCGAGCCGCCAGACTCACCCCTGTCTTTGGAGGCTGCGGAGGCAATCAGAAGGCAGGGTGCCGTTCTCATGGGTCTTGCTGATAATCTAGAGCGAGCCAGTCAAATCAGGGGAACGCCGAAACTCGCCTACCTCTCACCGCCGACCTCGGGCAGCTTATTCAATCAGACGGCAGATATACGAGTCCAGGCGTACAGCATGGGAAAACCACACCCGAGTCTACAGCTTACAGGAGGTGTCACTTTGGCAAGTGCCATGATTATGGAAGGAACCATTGCGCATCGCATCGCAGACCACAAGACCACGGTGATCACAGAAGGAATTCCCACGCCCAGGAGGACACCGAGTCCATCAGACATGATTGCCGGAGTCGTCACAAAGGGGCTTACGGACGACATTCTATCTCAGATTAACGGCACAGGTCGAACTTTGCGCATCGAGCACGGCAGTGGTATAATGGAGGTAGATGCTCACACACGCCAGGATGCCGAGGGCATCACTGTTGATAGATGCGTTGTGACGAGAACGGCACGGAGGCTATTTGAAGGCAACGTGCTGTATTACTCTTGATTAATTCGATATAGAACGCAACATCGGCGTTAACACGATCAGCTCAATAGAAACTCTCGCTCGGGGCAACTCTCGTCCTTGGCCTCAATCATTTCCCCATACATGATGCCGTGAACGTAGGTCTCGCCAATCAAACTGTACATCTCACCATCGCCATTTCTTCTCAGAACCAGGGGTATCAAAGACCCATAGAACACCGAAATCGTATCCCCCACCATGGTGTTGAGAGGCGCAAGACCTATGAAGCCTCGTGCTGTGATCATGAGAGACCGGTTGTAGCAGCAGATCCTCGAGCTCCTATAAAAGCAGTCCTCTCTCCCCACCATATCATTCAACCCAGTCTCGGAACATTTCCGGGCTCCAAATGATAAGCCTCTTTTGCACTTTGGCGCCTGCCAGCAGCTGACTCCCTTCAACCACAGTTGATAGTGGGCCAACCACTCCTCGTCCGTCAGCCCCTCTGTCCAGTCCCCTAATAGCGTTCTACAGAGATCCCAAGGCAAGTCATTGCCACTGCCGTATGGGTCATTCTTGAGGCCTGCCCAGCGTTTGTGCCAACACCGAATGGCAGATTGAAGGCTCTCTTCAATAGACGCCATGCTCGAGGTGTGAATGGTCTTTGCGGTGATACCGCTCGGTATCACTACAGCGACTTCGTCAAAGTAGATACCTTGAAACCCCAGGACCGAGTTATCTATGGGCCCTGCACCCTTGGACCTCTCGTTTCTTTCTCCTCTCCCAACTGCCGCAGGGTTCGCCAAAACCCGAGCAACTCGTTTCGTCCCGGCTCCGACCTTGAACGATTTCCTGCCCCGACGGGCTGCGAAATGCAATATCGAACCTACCTCCGCTTGATACCTCGGTGCCCAAATACCACACCATGAAGGAAGAGGCTTGTTAAACTCTAATGATCTAAATCGGACCGGGTTTATGCCGTAAGTCTTCGTTAGATACGCAAAAATGGACGTGAACACAGTTTCGTCTGAATGATAGTAGTCAGGCTTGACCCTCAACTGGTCTTCAGGTGATGCCAAGGACAACAGACCAAAGACCATGTCTCTGGAAAGACTCTGTTTGAAGCCCTTTGCTAGTGTCATCCATCTTGGAAGAGGAGCCCTATGGACGTCAGGGTCTGTTCGATATGATTTCCACTCCCTGAGGAGCGGATAGAAAGGGCACGAGTCGAAAAGCGTTTGAATAAACTCGGGCACGTTATGGGCTGATGAGGCAAACTTCTGGTGCCAGACGGCTATTTGCGCGATCTTGTCCAACGGTAATATGTCTGAGGCCGAACCGCAAATGAAAACCGGGTTTCTGGAGAAGAAGGCTTCTTGTATCACCCATCTTCGTCCCCACCAAGGGTGACTGAGAAGCAACTTAATAGCCCTCCAGTTTCTCGATGTTTGAGAGCTGTCGCGCCAAATAGCGACATGAATGTTGTCTTGCTTCAATTCGGGCTGAGGTCCGTCTGCATTCTTGTCGCCAGCAGTTCTCTTGAAGTGGTTCATATCTGCTCGGAACTTTCGGGCATCAAGTTGTAATGCAGCTCGGATGCCTTGAAGATTATCGTTCGTGAATATATATGTCGTGGAGGCGAGCCTGTAGATGCTGGCCATCAACAATATCTGCCAAGACTTTTCCCGGTGATCTTGCTGGTTGATGCAGACAGCATCGACCCAAATGCGTCGTGGGGGTGTCTTTGGGTAGCTTCGGATGGATCGAAGAGCTTGGAACAGTGTTTGAGTTACGTCGAGCATGTGGCCATCGAGGTAAAGCTTCCCGCGCTCTCCCCGGGGCGGTGATGAAGAACCCCAAACATAAGACAACGCATCGTATTCGGGTTGATCATCCAAGGATACGATTTCCATAGACACATGAACTGTGTTGACAGCAAAGTCCATGGAATCGACGACTAGAAGTCTAATCTCCCGCTTCTCCTGCCTTAGGGGCCAGCATCTCAGAGCGCCACGAGAGGGTCTGGCGCCCAAGGTTGGGGATGCCGAAGAGGCACCAGGTCTTCGTATTGAATTTTGTGTCTTTTCATGGTTGGAAACTTTCTGTACGTTTCCTGCATTTGCGACGTTCATAGACATGGGAAAGCCACGTAGTGTTTGCGGCGTCATGGCCGAACAGTGTATGATGTTAGAGATGATCGAATGAAGAGGTCAGGCAGGCTAAGAGTTGAACTTGCCGATGGAATTGGGACGTTTATGAGGGGAAGGGTGACTGAAATGAGGAGAGTTCCTCCAGCATGCTGACCACTCAAGAAGCTGTACTATGGTTATTATCTGCAAGCCACCCAGGCGGCGTAACGTAACCATGCAGCTAACATGCACAGCCCCCACTACGGTGAACAGCTGGTGATGTTTGCATGCCGTTTCGAAATCATCAAAATGGCAATCAGGGCAATAAATACCAGCATAATCTTCTGCCAACGGTCACCCAATTATATCGGAATAGTAATCAACTCCCTGCTTGCGTGTTTAGACTTGATTGTTAAGTCATTTCGAAGACTTTCGACATTCACAATACACATGGGTCTATCGGCGTACCCGGAGTCTTCTCTCAACGTAGACACTCGAAGGCAGCGCCGCATACCATTCACTCCATCATCACCGCCATCCAAACCAACATCCCAAACTCATCTAACCCATCACACCAGTCGGACACACGAGATGTCATCTCCCCCTCCTCCACCTCGGTTCCAGTCCCGGTTCCCGTAGTACGTCTCACCCGTCGCAGATCTTGGATACTCAAGGGCTTCTTCCGAATCTCTGCTTCCATCTTTTTGTAGCGCGCAGACCACTCGACATTTGACACAGGCTCCCACAGATACCTTCCTGTCGGAACTGCCACCTTGTCATAACCACAGGTAGCTGCTTTCCCTCCGCTGAAGTCTGTGTCGACGAGCAGCTCGAACCCAAAGTTCAGACAGACGTTTCTGTGGCAACCTACAGTTAGCAATATGCATCTACGAGGACAGATCTACGACGAACCTCCGAACACACTCTCTCAGAGCCCATTCACGCCGATCAAGGCTAGCGCCATTGATGAAGTTGGAGGTGTAATCCATCTGAAAATAAAGCTTTCTTGCCAAGAGCTGCTCTCATACATCAGCATGCATAGTTTAACTCCAGGAAACGCGGGCCTCTCACAACAGGGGTTGATATCAGGAAGTCAATATCGTTGTGTGGGATGGAATCTTGGTCCTTCACTTGCAACAGCACGTATATCGTCATAGCCTGCCCAGCTGATACGAGTTCTTCACGACTGAAGGAATCGTACTATTACCCAAAAGTTCTCAGTCAAGTGTACTTCTAAAATCATGAGCTTTGGTCTTACCTCTTCTCTAATCCTGCCAACCTCCTTGTAGATGCTCTTCCATACGAAGGCCGTGCTTCCAGGGGTCCTCGCCTCGTAGGCTTGTATCAGACTACAGCAGATGGCCAGCACTTCAGGCAAACACTGATGATACCCCTGAGCACTGCATTCAACAGGTGATACGACTCCATCAATCGCACACTGAGGGAAGATGAACGGCGGCAGGCGGCCGCCTCTAGCCATCATCGAGGGATATGAGAGAAGCTGGCCGAGAAGTACTTTTGCGGTAAAGGCTGCTGATGCAGGCTTTCTGATCCTGGGTCTAAGCGGTGCCTCGTCATAGTATCGTGGTAGAGTTGTAGGTGGCGTTTGGGTCGGGACAAGCCGTCTGCTTCTGGGCGAGGCAGGGCCTTGAATGGGGACCAGAGCCCTCTGGGGTTCCATCTCACTCAAATGCCGGTCTTCCAAGAATGAGAGCGGATTCGTGCTGTATGACATTGTCGTGTTTGGAAGAGCTGTATGGATTCTGAAAGGCATATTGGATGTACTCTCAATGGCGTGGTTCAGGAAATTGAGCTCACAGCCCAAGGATGTTGGCAAATTTGATGGTGGCTGCAAACTCCCCCAGTCCATCCAAGAGTATACACTTTGGTCAGGTCCCAGACTCTCAAGGGCCGAGGAAGCCGAGTTGACCTCGTCTATTGCTGCTCCAGTCCATGACCCGGGTGTCTCTCTACTTGGCCCACCGTCTGTTCTAGGCGCTACCGGCCGGGCAAACAAAGCTGATTGGTCCACATCTCCGGGGCCGTCACTTACAAGAGATGTCGTAGCTGGCCGTAGAGATCTAGCTGTCGTTCGTCTCGGCAGTCGGTCGTACTTGCAGGTCAACCCTCGTTCGTCACATCGTCGACAAGGTGCATCCAGCGAGCATCTCGCCTTGCTACACTCCGTTGCGTTGACAGCGTCCGCCCCCCCTTTTTGCCGAAATTACGCACGCATAATCCCTGTATATACATGAAAATTTGCCCAACGCCACGTAGATATTCGTAGTACGGCAATTGACCTATTCTGATGGCTTCAATTGATCTATTTCTATTGAATCTCATTATCTGAGGGCATCGTGATGCCTCCTAAACGCCGCCGCGCGGCTCGGCAGGCGGATGATGACCCTTCTGGGCATCGTCCGTCACCCATCGCCAACGGTACGCGGAAACAACGACGTATACAACAACTGGCACAGGACGCCGCCAGAGATCCTCCTCAACGCTCTGCCTCGCCGTCGATCAGGATCGTTACGCCCGCCGAGAGGGCTCGCCGGGCTGCCGCCGCCGAAGAGGCCGCCGAGGAGGCCGCCGAGGAGGTTATCGTCGCCGAGGCTGGACCCGAGACTAATGATTTGGTGGCGGCTGAGTCTACATCGCGAAGAAAGCGTGTACTTATAGCCCCTCCGTCATCACGAAGAGCTCCAAAAGCGTCCTCTCGCCAAAAAGCAACGACAACGCAGAGGAAGCGAAAGAAGGATCCGCCGCATACGATCCGGCTCCGAAGTACTCTGCCTTCGTCGATGCCACCGTTTCGACCAGACTCGACCCCAGTTAACCCAACCCCTCGTCAAACCACTCGATTTGCGGACGATACGCCTACGGCCCCTCGCCATAGCGCTGATGATACGTTTATGTCGTTCCACGATGTATTTGAAGAGGAGGACGATATGGGTAACGAGGAACCAACTCTGCTACAAATCCAGGTTACCCGTGGCCCAGCGCTCAAGGGTAACGGTTTACCTGTTCTCGATCTAACCATCGAGAGCATCGCGTATAACAGATTCAGTATTGCTCCTGTATTAGATGCGAATAGTAGAGACTGGGAGGCAGACAGCGGCGCCCAACTTGAGGCAGAAGTGGCTCACTCGTATATTGTGAAGAAGGCCAATATCGCTGTTGTCGTTGCTTGGAGGAAGCCCACCAACGCATCTAAACCAACACCAATCTTCACTCGGGTCTATCCGTCTACTGGAGGGGTCACTTGGCCAAGTATTCCATGGGTTGATATTGTCCCCTCTCTTGAACAAGCTGAAGAGAGGGGTGAAGTCCACCTCACCGTCAAGTGGCAATACAGCGCCGTACCAATCTCTGGTGGTATAGTGACTGGCGTACGAACGCCTCGAAAAGGTGGCCGAGCAGGCGTTTCAGCCGGCATGCAAGAGGCGATCGATCGTGAGGCTAACGATCCTGCAAACGTCGAGCGTCGGAAGGAGGGTATGCACAGACAACTTCTCCGTACGCACATCTGCCCAGAGTACCAGAGATGTAAGAATAGTTCGGGCGACGAGAAGTTCAACTGGTGCTATATACTAGGCCAGAAGCACTACAAGATCAAATCTCACCATATAGAGAAGTGGGCGAAGGCTATTATGACTGGACAGGCTGGCGTTGACAATATGGAACCACCTAAAGAACTGCTTGGTGAGATTCTTCACGACCAGTTTATAGAGGATCAGAAACGCCAGGGCAAGAGAAGTAAGAATATCGTGGAGGTTGATGATAACCAGGAGACGACAGTGATGACGGAAGAGAAGGCTGAAAATGCCGCACTTCCATCATCAGGGTCAAGATCTGGCCTAACCAACGCCAACAGCAACGCCATCGTCAATATATACGGCAACGCGGGGGCGCCAGATCGTCATCTTCAATATCCTAACCCATACGTACAGCTGCCGCCGCCGGCGCCGCCGCCGCCGGCATATTGGCCATATGCGAACATCTCACAGTATTCGTTGCCAACTCTTCCGCCATTGAACCTTCCAAGCACTCGTCAACCAAGTATCGCACTCCCGATTCGTTCGTCCTCGCCAGTGGTACCGGATTCGCCTCGAAAAGCTCTAGATCAAGTGGCCAGCTTCATCAAGTGGTTTATATCCGTCCGCGGCAAGCGATATAACGTCGACGAAGGGTTCAGAAAGAAGCTACAGAAACTGCGATCAGTAGACAGTAGCTTGCGGGCAATTCGCAAGTTACCAGATATTTGGTTTACTGAACAGGGTTTTACTCAAGATCTTACCGAAGATGTCAGGAACTCGATCAAATCCTTCATAGACAACAGCGCCTACTACGGAGGGCAGTCTGACGCCCTCTCCGACGTGGTATCTCACTCTGAACTTCATTCAAACCATCGAGAGTCAGAAGGAGATGTTTATACAAGAATATACGCTGGATTGCCAGGAGGGACGGCGGCGGCGCCAGTTGAAAACTCTGCGGCGCTAGTTTCAGGCGAGTTGGGGTCATCCCGACATATCGACGCCCTAGTGCCACGTCAATCCATCGAGCAAGAGATCCGTGGTACGCCAGTTGAAGTTGGTCGACGTGGTGAGTGTATATAGAGCTGTTTACTGTCGAATATGGCTAACTTTGTAGGCGTTTCGGAACTCTTTGGTTTCGTTTCGTCACCACTGCTGTCAGCGTCGCAGATGCTGCCCACGCAGTTACAGATCGAACAAGACGAAATCGAGCAAGGCGATGAGGACAATCAGATTGAAATCTCGAGTGATACGTCGTCAACAGAGACGTATTACTCGGAGGAGGATAACGAAGAAGAGTGATACAGCAAGAGTGGTGTGAAGTTTGACTGTATGCGCGATTTTTTTGCATGACGTGTTCAACCACGGAAAAGTCTACCCATAGCCGTAGATTCAACACTGCCGCTCTATACGTATAAAAGCAATAGAATTACTGTTATTTTGGATCTGCAAACAATACACTTCGGTCCATCCCGATACTGGTTAGGGGCAGTTGAAGTCTCTGACTATGGTTGAAGTCTCTGATCGTGATGACGTGTCATCATCACAAATCATCGTCACAAGCATCAACAACGCGTTTCAGCCGTTATACAGGCAAAATTGATATGTATACGTAGCTACCGACGAAAACAATGGACGACGGTATATTTTTTGTGTTCTGGTGCGCTTGTGGCTAACCTTTTGGCAATCTTGTTGGCTACAATCATGGATTTGATGATTGACCATCATATGACGACACGATTAAGATCTATTGCGCGCGAACGCACGATGAAAATTTGGATTGCTTGCTGATGTTCAATATTGGCAGCAAATCCTCCCTTTTATAGTTCGATATCGTCAAATATATGCTCTGTCCCATCAAAGTTGACGAACGAATGGCGGAAATGGCCCTCGATCTGGGGTAGACGATACCCAATCTCCATAGCGCAGTCACGTAGATATTCCATGAAATCCCGAGTGTCATTCTCATCGTTGTTCCACTTCGAATACGTCTTCCTGATGTATCGCTTTAGATCGCCGAAGTACTCTTCGATGGGGTTGAAGTCTGGTGAATACGGAGGCAGAAACTCGAGATGGACACCTGATACCCGGCATAAACCCTCGATTTCAGGTATACGATGGCAGGAGAGGTTATCCATAACGATGACAGAGTTTGGCTCTGGAAAACGCCCACATTTCGGGATAAGGCACTCCTGTAGCCAACGAAAGAACCCATCGCCGTCAGTCGTACCATAATACGTAGTCAAGTGTAGGATACCGCTCAACGTGAGGGCTGGCAGGATCTGTACGCGAGAGTTCTGAAACCGATCAATCTCTGCAGTTCGAAACGCAGCAAGCCCTTTCGGCGCCCATCCAGTCCTCCGTATCCCAGTATCCTTATTGACGCCGGATTCGTCGACGAATACCAGCTGGTCGGGGCGATATCGTCGTATACGGTACAAGTACTCGTATCGTAGTTCGTCACTTCGCTGAGCAGCAATAATCTTGGACTTCTTGTTCGTCCAGCCAGCTGAGTTTAACTGTCGACTGATTGCAGAACGACTGATCTGGATCTCGAAGGCTTCAAATAGGAAATCTTGCATCTCTTCAAGAGATAGATCGCTGCGGTACTGCAGTAGTTCAAGAAGCTCTGTACGATGCCATATTTCCATCTTTTGTCGACTCTGGCGGCACCTCTTATATCTCTGCACTTCGCCAGTGATATTACGTCGTGATCTATGTCGTCGAATCGTTCGTTCGGTACAGCCAACGATACTTGCCAGCTCGTGGGTCTTTTGGTCTTCGAATGGCAGTATCATCGCGATCGTCGATAGCTGTAGATTCGATATTCTGGGCGCCATTGTATCGTCGTCGTCGCCCGGCGTCTTTCTCGATGTATCTGATATAATAAACCACGGACATGTACTGACCAGCGGCAAACTGTAAGTAACAGGGCACAATCTATACAGCAGTAGACTCTTGCTCAATATCGTGAACAAGCTGAGCTATCAGGAGAGTCATTAATCCTGTTGACTGCCAAAGCATTTGCTCTGAAGAACCGTATCAAGCCCCTTGGTATGCTTATATATTACTCAGAGCCATACAAACCGTATGCTGAGTAGATATATAAAGTCATACAGCAGGTCTCTTCTTCTGTTCCTCAGCAAATGTCATCTTGATCTCTCATGACGAAAATAGACCTTTTGTTGGTCGAATGGTATGGGGATGAGGTGACTAGCTGGGTTGGCAATGCCTCGATGGGTAGATTGACTGCTACGGAAGCATGAAATACACACCTTATGTCTCTATCGTGTAGTTATACGTTTGAATACTACTGGGACTATAGTGATTGACGGCAATTGAGGTGTTGGTGATGACTTTGACGCGTTTTGCGTGCGATGCAGAGAAATGCGCGTCACAGCGTAAAATTGGCTTTTTTTCATGTTTTTGCATAAGCGGGGAAAAAAAAGGGGGGCGGACGCTGTCAACGCAACGGAGTGTAGTCCGACAAGGAACGCAGGACTTCTTGCGACTAGACATTCTTGCCGAGTTGCAGACTATCTTGGTGAGATAAATCTTGCCGAGTAATTGGCATCGCGTTTTGGCATGGACAATACTGCTGCCTAGGAGGTGCAAGTCAAAGAAAGGGGGCTAACAATGGAGCAGTGGTGTCAGCACGCCGCGGAGTTCCGACCAATCAGCGGCCACCCTTTTCACGGTGCCGGCGCCGGCAGGGGAGGACCCGCTGAACTCCGGACCCGAGGCCTGCACTTCTTCCAAACCTTGAGAGAGATGACCTGGATCTCCCGAGGTCTTTGTCAATAATTGATGAAATTGTCACATCTCATGCATTTCGGATCTGCGTTTCAAAAGGGCGCTGAGAGACAGATGTAGCTGTTAGCTGCTTTCGGCGGAGTTGCAGCCAATCAGAGGCCGTCATCTCGCCCAACTCCGGAGCTTGCAAGAGAGACGCCACAAGCGTCATGCCATGGGGGCATTGTCTTCTACAGACTGTTGACGAGTGTGCTGTAAGTAGGTATCTTGATTATCTGTTGTGCAGAAGTTCCATCGGTTTGGCTAGGATTCAGCTTTGCGGAGTTGACACGGATGTTCGGCACTTCCAGGCACTTGCACTCTTTGACTGTATCTTGACACCCTCCCGTCAAATGATATAAAACGGCCTACCAAGTCTCGCTCTCAGGTTTTCGCACAGCTTTGAGGTCATTCTTGACATTACTCAAAGGAAGTCATCACTCACATCATCAACCATGTCTCCAATCCGCGTCGGCATAATCGGCCTCTCAGCCAAAGCCCCTTCATACGCCCCCGGCACCTGGGCCTCAGCATCCTTCCTCCCTTCCATTCAGAACTCTCCCGAGTACACCATCGTGGCCCTCTGCAACACCTCAACCGAGTCCGCCCAGCGCTCCATCCAGTTCCACAATCTTCCAGAAACCACCAAAGCCTACGGTGACCCTCAGGACCTGGCCCACGATCCCGATGTCGACCTCGTCATCGTCAGCGTCGTCGTAACCCACCACCTCAAACTTGCCCTCCCCGCTTTGCAGAAGACGAAGCAGGTCTTTGTCGAGTGGCCCCTGGGCCATTCCGCTGCGGAAGCAGAGCAGATGGTAGAGCTGGCCAAGACGAATGGACTGAGAACTATTGTTGGCCTGCAGGCTCGCGCTGATCCTTCTATGATCAAGTTGAGGGAGATCATCAACAGTGGAGAGATTGGAGATGTCAAGAACACCACCGTCATCGGCACTCTTCCCGCTCTGCCTCCGCAGTTCTGGATCGAGGGGACGGAGCAGTTTCTCGACATCAAGGGCGGAGCAGGCGCTTTCCACATAGTCTTTGGACATTGTAAGTAATATCCTACCAATCTTACTTACACAGACACGGGGTTTCCTAACAGCTTTCCGTAGTCATAGACTCTTTCACCCACATCCTCGGCCCTTTCAACACCTCCAGCATCAGCTCGATCCTCAAGACAGACAACGACCACGTGCCAATCTACACCGCAGACCGAACCGCAATCGCCATCCCCTCGCACCCCAAGACCGCCCCGGACCACATCCTCGTCCAGGGCAGCCTGCAAAGCGGCGCCCTGGCCACCGTCCACTTCCGCACGACGCAGGCCTCCATCGACGACGTCGGCATCCGCTGGATCATCTCCGGCTCCAAGGGCGAGGTCGAAATCACCTCGCCCTCGAGCAGCTGGCAGGGCTATTTCCCCAACCGGAAGATCAAGGTCAAGATCTTTGGCGGGGAGACGCGAGACGTGGACCTCGCTGCGGATCTTGGGGTTGCGGCCGATGTTGGGCAGCGGGCTGTGAACACGGCTTTGGTCCTGGATGCGTTTGCCAAGGGGAAGAAGGAACTGTACGCTGACTTTGAGGCGGGGATGCGGAATCATCAGCTGCTGGATGTGATCTTGAAGAAGTCAGGCTTGGAGGTTTGAGGGAGGTATGGATCGATGATCATGGCTCTTGTCATGTCTGAATCATGCCGTTGGCAATGGATTACAAGTAGAGAGGACAGGTTCACGAAGTCGCCGTGAGCCGGACTAGAAAGAAGAAAACTAGAGGTACGACTATATACATGCGAGTACAGAATGAAGATCATACTGCATCTTGCGATCAAAGAAACCACCAAACCACGCTGAAAACATGGAATGATTGGTTAAACACAGTTCTTATGAAGAATTCTCTCTCGAATCTTAGGTGATCAAATCGCAAGCCCGCTGCTCAAGGCCCGGTCCATGCCGGTGGATCCACCCTCGGCGCCAGTGCCGATGCCGGCGTTGCATGCCGAAGCCCGGAGATCGTGACAAATTCCCTCCGAAATCTGATTCGGCACGCCACCCGAGACGGACTCCCTCCAACCGCACTCGACAAACTCTCAAATTTTGTAAGGGTGTTACACTGTCTTTCATTTTGGTTAATCCTCATTGGACGAAACAAGATCACTGAGTGAACACATCAAGCAAGCCGGCTTTCTCAAGCGCCTTTCTCCATCTCAAGGCTTTTTATTCTCGTCTCAATCAGAGGCTCTCTAAGTGAGCCGCAACTTACACCAAATCTAACGCCTCCTCATAAATCACCACCAAACAAACTCATCACGCCCTCACAATGCCCGAACCAACGCCCACACCCCCGGTAATCGCAATCCTAGACACAGACACCACAGTCCCCTCCATCCAACACTCCCACGGCAAATACTACAGCGCCGCCTACATCCACCACCTCACAGCCGCCGCGACCGCCGCCTCCCTCCCCGTCCCGACCTTCACGACCCACAACGTCCTCGAGGACGCCTACCCAGACCCGGCCGCCGTCTCCGCCATCCTCATCACCGGCTCCATCGCCGCCGCCTACGACACCCACCCCTGGGTCCTCCGCCTCGCCGCCTTCATCGCCGACGTCTACGCCAACCACCCGCGCGTCCGCATCTTTGGCACCTGCTTCGGCCACCAGCTCATCGGCCAGGTCCTCCTCGGCCCGCACGGCGCCGTCGTCGAGAAAGACCCCGCCGGCTACGAGTTCGGCGTCCAGACCATCGCCCTCCACCCGCGCCTGGTCGCCGAGTACCCCTGCCTGCGCGGCCTCGCCCAGGTCAACGACGGGCAGCAAAAGGACGTCCACGGGCTGAGGCTGCAGATGTGCCACGGCGACCACGTCGCCCTCCCCGCGACGCTGCCGGGCTCGTGGCTCAACATCGGCGGCAGCGCGCAGTGCGCCGTCCAGGGCCTGTACGAGCCCTCGCGCGTGCTCACCATCCAGCCGCACTTTGAGGGCGACCAGGTCATGATGGAGGAGACGATCAAGCACTTCTACACGCCGGAGAAGGGCTTCTCGCCAGAGTTTCTGGAGAAGGCGTTCGAGGGCACGAGGAGGCAGGACGACGCGGGCGTTGCCGCGGAGTGGGTTTTGAGGTTCTTGTTGGGCATTTCATAGATTAGACGAGATAGATTCGGTCTGGAGGTGTTGGTCACGGCACGGGTGTCGTCATATTCCGTAGCGGACGTAGAATACCCAAGTGTATCTAATGCGTTTTATACACGGGCCGGTTTATTTTCTAGATTGCAGTTGCTTCTTATCTCTCAATTTCGCAAACTTGAAGTCGAAATCGGGTGCCCCGTTGCATTTGATCAATGGTCTCGCTCAATGCCCCAGTTCTTGCTGCTTGTTGAATGGCGGCTCCTGGAAGGTAGATTGGCCGATATGCACGGGGCCGCCCTGAAGCCTGGAGGTGAAGTCTCCTTGCGTAGAGTAGGACCATGGTGGCTGCAATGCTGCCATCCCGGTTAAGGATACTTCGGCGGCGAAGGAAGCTGTGTAGTGTCAGTCTCCTGGGCCGGGTTTTGGTACCCGGCATCCTTAGAGTCCTCGGTCTCCTGAGAATCTTCTATCTGCTCAGGATCCTCAACCTCCTTAGAGTCCTCAACCTCCTTAGAGTCCTCGACGTCCTTAGAATCCTCGACGTCCTTAGAATCCTCGACGTCCTTAGAATCCTCGACGTCCTTAGGATCTTCTATCTTCTCAAGATCCTCAACCTCCTTGAGATCCTTGGCCAGCTTAGAAACCTTAATCTGTTTAGGATTCTTAACCGGCTGAGGATTCACGTTCGACTTTTGGTTCTTTTTCTCGGTGGAAACGATTTGTTCAAACCACAATTTTAGCTCTGACTCTCTCTGAATCTGCTTCTTGATATAGCCTTCGTCCACCCAATGGGGCGGTGGAGGCATCTCGCTTGTTCCCGATTTCGTCAGCCGCACCGATGCGCGTTCATACGACATAATCGCGCGAACGAGCGAGCAGGTGGCCTGGAGTGCATGCGATCCGGGCCAGCCGCTCAAAGGATCCAACTCTGCCGCCCTGATCGTCAACAGTATCCTACGAACAGCATCCTTCTTAGCATCCTTCTTTGATGGTCGCTTCGGTTCGTCTTTACTCTCGACATCGACCTCCATATCTGACGAAAGACCCTGCTTCCGTCTCTGCTCGAACCAGGCTTTCAGTTGCGGCGTTTTCCGAAGGGCTAGCTGCGTGTTGATCCCCCGCGCCATCTGCAAATTCGTGAGCTTTGAGTGCACCATCTCATGACAGGGCCTGCAGACGGGGATCGTTTCATCCTTCCTCCGCCCACGCTTGATTATTGCATTTTCCTTTTCCGATTTGGGAACGAGGTGGTGCTTGGTCATCTGATACGACTCGCGATCGCAGAGAGAGCATACTCCCGGCTCACCCCTGACTTGTTCTTCTTCATCACGTTCGTTGGCCTCACTCGCCTCGTCTCTCGTGCCCAGATTTTCCACCGGTGGTCGTACTTTTTCTTCCGACGAGACTGAAGGCGAGACAGATGCCTCCGGTGCTGATGGCGCAACAGATCCATCTTGGCTAGCCACGTGAGCATCCTCTTCATGTGAAGAGGCCCGCCATCTCGGGCGTTCAGGTCCATTTTCTGGCGGTGTGTCCGCCCTTGAAGTTGTGTATGAGTAGGGGGTCACTGTCGCATGCACAGATACACTGTGCCCCGGTTGAGCGTTGATGGTGATCACCACGGGCTGGTTTTCGTTTCGCTTCTTCCCACGACGCACTTCCTCATGACGCTCCCTTTCCACCTGCTCCTTTTCTTCTCGTGTCCTCCTGCTGCGCTCGATAAACGGCTGAACAAAATCGGGAGCTCCCCTGCTTCCCAGCCCTCTCCTCGAGTTCAGACGCCCATCCAGACGCGTCTTGTGAGCAACTCTCGAGGGACCCCTCTCCATGCGATTCAGCTCCGCGTGAACCGCTCGCACTGCCTGCGAGCGGCGGCGAAGGCTGATCTTATTCCGGCGATAGGGCTCCCAGCGGTCATCGATCTCGTTCGACGGCTGAAAGTCTTCCTCACGGGCCTCATCCCCGTCACGCTCATTCTCTGCCGCCGCGGCCTCGGAAAACTCCTCCTTGGAAGACTCAGACGTATCAACAGCGTAACAACGGTGAAAATTCGAAATGATTGCCAGTGGTCCGACACAGACGCGTTTGCTGCTCCATGGAAGCGCCCGCAGGACTCCCGTCGACGGGAACGACCGCGCATATCCCACGGTCCCAATGAGACGGGCAGCTCTGGTCGGTACTCTCATCATCGTTTTATAACGGTTGACATCTCAATATGAATTGTTGAGGATCGAGGAGGAAGAAATGAACCCAATGGTGGCGAATTGGAAGTGTGTTGATGGGAGATGAGAGAGTCGATTTTCGTTGGTTCTTGGAAAAAAAGAAAGCATGGACCCACGCGACCGTTCGCGAGCGACAGTTCTCCGTTGCTTCTTAAGATCCACGGGTTTTCAATCCAACAAGAGCCTCAGGGAGAAGGAGAAACACCAGCTGTCATTCACAAGTTCAGTATTGTACGAATGTTATCATCAGTTTGTGGTCTCATTTAACGACATAAGACAGTAAAACCAACACCGGCAAGGCCTCTCTCTGGATGAAGCCAAGGTATTATACATCTGAATTTCTTTTGTAATGCCCATGCCTACTTTAAAAACTCCGTCCCGTTCCATCTTCCTCCACCGTACTGCCGCGCTTGCGCTTGACACCCGCGACACGTCCAATGCGGTCCTAGTACAATGGCGTGTTATCAGCGTCTGCCAGCCACAACGTTGCCAGGTCTCGCGACAAGCCCAGCCTCAGGACTCGAAGCACATCCTCCGCCGATGCGTTTGCCGTCAATCCTGTTCTCCAGTCCCAGCCACGCTTGGTGTTAGCGCGTGAGAGACCGGCACTGCCGCTGATGGAGCGGTTCAGCTGGCTGGCGAGCATGGAGCTGCCGCTCAGCATGTAGCTTCCGCTGAGGGAGCCGGTGCTCTTGCGCATGAGGTCCGCTGGCGTAGAGCCCTTCAGACCTTGAGCCGAAGCTAAAACGAGCTTGAAGAACTCGTCTGCGGCATTGAATATTGTTGAATTGACCGTCTGGATGTCCTCAATCGCCTTGAGAAGGATGTCCATTTGGTCTAACGTGATGACTGCAGGGCTCTGGTTGACGAATGGAAGAGCCTCGCCGAGCAGCGCAAGAATGAAGTCCTCGCTGACAACGGCATCACGCGTCTCATCATATAGGCCGCCGCGGATGTTGTCATCGGAGCTGGCGACGACAGCAATTAGAGCGGACGCGGCCTGCTTGCGAAGAGAAGTAGATTTGTGTGCCGACATGCTTGCTAGTCCGTCGGTATCCCGGATCTCGTAGTACTTTCTAAGCGTAGCGTAACCACTGAGCATGCGGCCGAGAAGTTGTGCCGCTTCGAGGTCTTGTTTGGCATATTGCTCGAGAGTTTGCGATCGCTCGTTCAGAAGCTTGTGAAGGTGGTCGTCCAGGTCGTTCGCAGGAGGATAAACCGTAGAGTGGAGGAGAGAGTAAGACATTAGCAGGTTGAGCACTTCGCGCACCTTGCCTGGTCTGTGGGCAAGGGCGTAGTACCACAATGCCTCTCCATATCTGTGAGATTCTTCTCCCAAGATGTCTGCATACGTCTGCGATTTGTTAGCTGACTTGTCACTCTCCTCAAAGGAAGTTATCATACCTCTGCGGTCTGCTCGGCGTAGTTGATCATGCCGAGATCGTTCAAGATCCTCCAGATCTTGTCCACAGTCACGCCCGAATCACCGTCGATGGTTTGCAGAATATCACCAAGCAGCTCGCCCACCATCTCCTCAGACTTGGCGGCTGAGTCCATGCGACCCAGCACTTGGATCGCCATCTCCCAGCCACTGCGAGTCTCAGATAATTGGTCGATTCCGGCCAATTCTCGTGCGTAATGCGTGAGCGTCGTGTCCTTGATGCCCTCCACCTCATCAGCCCCCTGAGGGCTAACTCCAAGGATGTCGAGATCCTCCATGTCCAAGCTGTCCATAGTAATCAAGTTGGGCGGCTCGGGCTTGGGAAGCCACTGTCCGAGAGATGCAAGCTCCGCCACGGAAGAAGCAATGGGCAAAGACCATGCTCGCAAGATGCCAATTACCGCGGCAAAGTTCGACTCGAAAGCGGAGGCAATGGCCACCTCGACAGGGTTCATTGCGTTGATATGGAAATCCGACTCGATCGCAGTGTGGAAAGAAAGCGACAGGCGCTCGAAATAGCTCTCTGGACCAGACGAAACAGCGGGCAGACGCAGTCCCTGCGATCGAGACATGCGCAGGCTCTTCTGTTGTCCGCGTCCCTCTTCCCACCATCCGAAAAGACCAATCGTTGCCTCGCACCAATCTTGCGCCGTCTCGAGAATGGCATCAGGAGTACCCATGATGATCTGGTAAATGGTCTGGAGGTGTTCGTAGATATCCCAAGGAACCTGTCCCTCGGCTTTCCGGGCTAGGCGGGCCAGGGATGTGCGGCCAGGGCCGTATGAGCTGTCGTCGCTGTCGCCGCCATACAAACCCTTATCCTTGCCCTCTGCGAATCGCTGCAGTTTGTCCAGTGAGCCCTTAGCTTGGATGCGGTACAGCGTCCAGTCACTGCTGAAGAGGTCCCAGTTGCCCTTGTTCCCTGGGCACATGTCGAGTGCCTCGCATGTTATGCCGACAGCACGCTGCAGGTTGTCCAAGGCCTTGCCGCTGTACGCCAGTTCTGCGCGAGTTCCCTTCCTGACAGACTCCCATCCGGCATTCCTCAGCAGCTGGGAAGCAAGGTTAACGTTGCCGCGGATGAGTGCGCTTCGTAGTGTAGGCCAGAAGAGGCTGTGGCTGGCGGGGCTTGGCCTGTGACGCATCACGATGTTGAACTGATCAGGGTAGAGGTTGTGATTGTCCTCGATCCAGTTGAAGAGGACTTGGGGCAGAGGTGGCGCCTTGACCTCACCGGGGCCCTCAGCAAAGCGGGTGTGATGCATCTGGAGGACCAACCTGGCGACATAGGCGGCCTTGTGGAAGGGCTCAGCGTCAGGCCCAGGTCCAATCTCAGCGACGTGCTCTCCTTCGGGCATGGGCAGCGTCTCGGAGAAGTCGTCCCAGAGCTCAACCAAGGGGTACACAATCGTCGCCAAAGAACCATCCAGCTTGTCCGGGTCTTCTTGCGCACCAATTCCCTCGTCGTAAAGTTGGTTCACCAAGTCCTCCGTCTTCAAAACAACCTCGGGCGACTCCGTGATCACCGTCATACCCATCTGGTTGTATAGATCCTTTGCAATAGACGCGTACTTGAAGTCCTTCCGTCTGGAGGCTGAAGAGCGACGCATAGATGAGGCACGGAAGATATCTTCAGCTTCCTTGCGCATGCGCTCCGTCGCCGCTGGTGTTGCCAGAAGCAAGAGGTCCGACTCCTCCCCGTTACCGCCATCCACACCATCGTCGGAGTAGACAGGCTCGTCGTCGTGGTGCGTGCTGTGGCGCATATTCAGAAACATGTCATCGTCGTCCTCGGCATATTCTTCGTCCTCTGCTTCGCCATCAGCATCCTCCTCATCGATATCGGCTTCGAGGTATCGCTCCATCTCAGCATCGGCTTCCTCACGCTCGTCGTACTCCTCTTCATCCTCCTCTTCCTCCTCCGAGTCGTCGGGAATCATGTACCGGCCGGTGCGGTTGTCGTATGTTACGTCGCGCTCTGCGGCGCCATACTCCTTGCTCAGTCCCGAGGGCTGCCTGACGTGCTTGGAGCTCTGGTGGATTGACTGGCCCAACGGCTTCTGCGAGAAGGGGTTCTGGGACGTGGCATTGCTGAGTCCAAAGAGGTTTTTCGTAGGGCCCGAGGTGCTCGCGCCGCCAAAGTTGAACGATTTCTGATTAGTGCTAGCTCCCAACAAGGAGCTTCCGAGGTAGGATGCAGACGGTGCGCCGGCAGGTGTGAATGACGCCTGAGACGACGGCGGAGGGCCTGCGGGTGTTGTCGACGGATTATCGCCAAAGGGATAAGCCGATCCCTTGCCTGTGTTCTGGCCAGGGGTGGATGGCGGCGAGCTGCTCCAGTCGTCGTTGAAGCTGAACTTGTTGGGCATGGCGACTGAACGCGGGCGACCTCAGGTCACCCGGCTGCGTCTCGTTTCGCGGGCGGTGTACAAATGCAAGGAGATTTTCGTTCGTGTCAGCAAGCGAGGCAATTGATCGTGTCGCGTTCGTCGGGATTGACGAGCTTGTCGGGGTTGGGATGGGCGCGCGTATCGTGGTGGATGAGCAAGGCTGGGCAGCAAGCTCTGCGATGTTTGGCTGGACGCGCTTGCTGGATAAATTTTGGAGGTTCGCGATGCTCGCCTGGTCAACGCGGAGGAAGCCGCACCAGGTGCCCCACTTTGGCCGGCCGCCTGCCAGTTTTCTTGCAGGGAGCTCTCAGCTGGGGAGCTGGCCGCTAAAAGTACGTAACAGACGCTAAAAACCGAGAGCTTCCCCATCCCGCCTCACCTCACACACACGCTTCCGACTCCCGACAAGAGGTGTGGCACATTGCTGAGGCGATGCATCCAAACTCCATGCACTCCCCAATTTCAGCTTTCCACTACAGAAAGTCGGGGTCGTATTTTTGGAAGTTTCGGCACAGCAGAGTTCAGACGTTCCCTCCACACTATGAAGATATGATGACATGGTGATGGCTGCTTGGCTGCATCAACACAACACTGCGTTTGCGGGGTAATGTGGTATGATTTCTTTCTCCCGGATACTTGTGCTGTATTTGTGATGTATTCTGACTTTTGGTGTATTCTGGATTTTGATGTAGCAGGTAGTCAAAGGTTCTTTCTTATTATCTCACAGCATCAATCATCTGCAACGGAGGTCGGTATCCGGACAACGATCCCGTCTTATCGTTGCTCTGCGGGCTTCTTACCTAACGCCGGCTCCAGCATTTCACGGCCGGCTTCGGCGTCGGGTTACCGTCCGACCTTGAGATAAGATAGGATAGAGCTACCCAAGCAGGCAGGATACGGCTGGCAATTTCAGCATAGGGAAGCACAACTCCGTAGCCTGTAGGTAACAGACTCCCCTCGGCGGTCCAGGCCCGGACATATGTCGGATTGTCTTGGTCAGCGGCTGTGCTCCGTGACTCCTCCAGCTCTTACTCGACACACACTCTCCGGGCCTCGTGCTTGTCCTTTCCTCCTTGGCGAAACGGAAGGGCATCGCGAGCGGCAGCGGCTTGGCTTCTCGTAACAATCGCCGACGGACTATGCCTGAACGGGGACGCAAATGGCACCTCAAAGGCCTAACCCCGACGGCTTAAACTTTTGGCGGCCCCTCCTGCAGACAAGTATCAAATGTGCAGCAAGCCATGAACAACGAAGAGACGCCGGACGGGTGGAGGAGGGGTTGCCCGGCTGGCTGGCCGGTTGGTCTGCCGTACGCTTGCCTAGAACACAGATGACATTGAACAGCGAATAGCATTGAATTCCGGGGTTTATTCGCTTCCGCTAACTGAGGGCGAGGAAGGAAGAGCAGGAGGCCAGCCCGGCCAATGACGTACTGGTTTGGGGTAATTTCTGCACTCGCAGCGTTCCAATGACGGTACTGAGCAATGGCTGTACCGAGAGTCGCGGCTGGCATCAACTCTGTTTTACCAGCACTCGATGACGGGCTGTTTTAAGCCCCGCTTTTCAGAGTAGTCGCCATCTGAGTTGCGTATCCCCCTCCCCGAACCCCCGAGCACCCCGTCCACGGCGCGTCCAGTGCTTTCTCTTGTGAAGGAGGGGAAAAAAGCATAGAGCGGGGTGGGGTTTGGAGATCCATTCGCACGCCCAGCCAGAGCCAAGCGGCAGTTCGTCTGGGTCTTGGGTGTGCGGGTGTGTGTGTGTGGTATCTGCATCTCGAGATCCATTTCCCCCCCTCCTTCTTGAAATAAATACCTGACCCTGCCCAGTAAAGCAAGGCTTAGTGCGTGATTCCTCTTCCATCAAGGTTCTCATCGACCCTCCCTTCATCAAATAAAACACCCATCATGTCTGCCACTGCAGGAAAGGTATGTCCAATCTTTACCGTCATGTTCCCTGCCAGTCGACAGTGCTGCTGCTGCTTCACATTGCGGGGTAGCTTAGCTACGACTCGTCGTCTTTTCCCGCCAACCCGCCCGCCATTGAACGTCTCCCGAGCTCTCCGCTGACCCAATGAACTCCCAAACAGACCATCACTTGCAAGGCTGCCGTCGCCTGGGAGGCCGGTAAGCCCTTGAGCATCGAGGACATCGAAGTCGCCCCTCCCAAGGCCCACGAGGTCCGTATCGAGATCTACTACACCGGTGTCTGCCACACAGGTCAGTCAGTCCCGATATAAACCCCTCACATCGTCATGCAGAAGCTTCGGATTAGCTTCCGAGACCGCATTTCCAGCTCCCGGCATAGCTCCCGGAAACCCCCTCGATCGAACGCCACCAGCAAGACCTCAGAGACCTAACATACACACACACAGATGCCTACACCCTCTCCGGCAAGGACCCCGAGGGCGCCTTCCCCATCGTCCTCGGCCACGAGGGCGCCGGCATCGTCGAGTCCGTCGGCGAGGGCGTCACCAACGTGAAGCCCGGCGACCACGTCGTCGCCCTCTACACCCCCGAGTGCAAGGAGTGCAAGTTCTGCAAGTCCGGCAAGACCAACCTCTGCGGCAAGATCCGCGCAACCCAGGGCAAGGGCGTCATGCCCGACGGCACCTCGCGCTTCAAGTGCAAGGGCAAGGACCTCCTGCACTTCATGGGCACCTCCACCTTCTCCCAGTACACCGTCGTTGCCGACATCTCCGTTGTCGCCGTCCAGCAGGACGCCCCCATGGACCGCACCTGCCTGCTCGGCTGCGGCATCACCACCGGCTACGGCGCCGCCCGCATCACCGCCAACGTCCAGGAGGGCGACAACATCGCCGTCTTCGGCGCCGGCTGTGTCGGTCTGTCCGTCGTCCAGGGTGCCGTCGTCAACAAGGCCGCCAAGATCATCGTCGTCGACGTCAACCCCAGCAAGGAGGAGTGGTCCCGTAAGTTCGGTGCCACTGACTTCGTCAACCCCACCGAGCTGCCCAAGGGCACCTCCATCGTCGACAAGCTCGTCGAGATGACCGACGGCGGCTGCGACTACACCTTTGACTGCACTGGTAACGTCGGCGTCATGCGTGCTGCCCTCGAGGCCTGCCACAAGGGATGGGGACAGAGCATCGTCATCGGTGTTGCTGCCGCCGGCCAGGAGATCTCCACCAGACGTAAGTTTACTGCCTCTCTTCCCATCGTGGATCATGATACTAACACCCATCCACAGCATTCCAGCTCGTCACCGGCCGCGTCTGGAGGGGTTGCGCCTTCGGCGGCGTCAAGGGCCGCACCCAGCTGCCCGGCCTCGTCCAGGACTACATCAAGGGCGACCTCAAGGTCGACGAGTTCATCACCCACCGCAAGACCCTCGGCGAGATGAACGAGGCCTTCGACACGATGAAGCAGGGCGACTGCATCAGAGCCGTGGTCGACATGCGCAAGTAAGCATCCACGAACACACGGCTCTGGTTGCACGACGTTATTTTTCTCGTGTCAATTCAGTGTTCATTACAAGAAAAAAAAGTTACTGATAGTTTAATAACAAAAAAAAAGTGAAAACGATATCAAATCTTTCGTCGCGAAATCCCGGGATGCAAAATTGTGAAGCCAGGCGGATGGGCGAGATGGTGGTGGCGGTGACGGTGACGACGGTCTACGACTCGATGACGACGAAGAACGACTGCGACGAAGCCCACGACTACGACGACGACAACGACAACGAGGAGGCTCTGCCGCTCAGCCTGTCCCTACGCAATGGCGTACCACAGCAATGTTCGATAGCAATACAGCGACGTGTCGTAAGAAGAAAACAAGGGACCTGAGACAAGACGATCAGCATGCGTGCGTGAGGTGTGTATGTGTGAACCTTCACAGTCGGCTCCTCCGTCATCCACCGGAGCCGTGACGTTCCAGAACCGCCGCCGGCCGGATTCGGCAAACCCGAAGATCACTATCACTTCCGGCGCCGATACACCACGCCGCTCATCCCGGCGCCATACCCCTAAAGTCACTCACGCCCCAGCGTGTCGGGCGCGCTACCCCTTCCAGACCTCCTTCCCGTTCGGTGGTGGTGGTGTATGTTCGACACGCAGTGTGACCAACTCCTTACAGCGGAGGCGAGACGCACAGCTTTCAGCTTGCTGCAGACTCCCGCTCCGTGTCCATGGGATCGCAGACTCGGAGACAGACCAGCCGAAAAAATGCCCTGCCCTTTCCTCCCCTCCCGGTGCATGTCGTGAACGCCAGGAACTATCGAAACGTTGCTGACGCCCCGCCCCGTGACTTTTCAGCTGATGTTAGTCGAACAAACCTCCTCTTCCTCTTCCCTCCTGTTCCCAATCTCAAGCATGAACTTCTTCCCACAGGAACACGTGAGAAACACGCCCATCCGCAATTCAAGCACCACAATCCAAAGAACCCGTCTATTGAGCCTCAGATATAGACTTTGTCGCGGAGTTTTGGAAGTGGCATTGTTGATCCCAAAAAACACAGTTCAGCATGCTCGAGCGCAAATCCCCATGAACCAGCCGTCAAACATCGGATCAACCACACACTCTCACCCCTCCGGACCTAGCAAACAAGCAAGAAACTACGCCCCGGCCTCCCGGTCGTCGGCGGATACCCGAGCATCCGTCGACTACTGTGCTACTCGTAGCCCGACGGGAGAGAGAGAGAGAGGGTTGTGTCGGGATGCAAGCTGAGAATCCTCTGTTTCCCCTTTCTTTCTTGGTCATCATTGTAGCGGACGCTGGACCGCATTCTGCCAAGTGCGCCTAATCTTCCGGTTTGCTTGAATAGAATTTTGGTGGCCGCAGCCTGCCCGGGTTTCTGTGTTGCTCTCTTCTTTGTCTCCTTCCGCAGGCTGGCTGAGACATTGTTTAAGACGGGGGAAAACAAGAAGAAAAGCAAACGTCCCATGGCGCTGTTTCCCGCAGACTGCATACGGATACGTGACCGTCATCAAGAAAAAAAAAAAAAAAAAAAAAAAAAAAAAAAAAAAAA